CATTACTACCTTTTACACCTACATGTACCTTCCCTAAGGAACTACCTGATAACTCTAATTCATCACAAAAGAAAACATATTTCACAAGCTACTGCATAACTCAAATCCTAGCATGTCCTAAGATTTATTCAACCCCATCAAACTAGAATCACAACCGACATAAAAGGCTGCCCTATGCATACAAATTATACACAGAACAGGATCAAATAGACTTTTGAATAACAAACTCTACCCTAGGACCACAACCAAACAAGGAACAACAAATAAAGCCAAATCAATCATTCTAAGGCTATAAGATTGTAACTGTATATAATGTTTAAAGTATACACATAGCAAAATCTATCAGACTATCATAATCCAAATATGAATACAGCATGGCTAATCATATAGGGGAACCACTTACTTGAACTCAGCCGATTACGCGCATTGTACTCTCCCTTTTCCGATCTTAAGAAGTTTTAACTTTTGATTTTTGAAAACCATTTTACTTTTTCCTTAATTTGAGTTCTAACACACCCGAGACTATGCCCGAATCCCTCAAACCAAGGCTCTAATACCAACTTGTAACATTGCAAATTTTCAATAAAAAATTTCATTTTTAAATAACAAATCATTCTCAAAAGACATAGTATTTCAACCACATTTTTTTTTCAAAAATCCATAATATCAATTAAATTATCCAAAAACATCATAGTGTCCCAACTAAAATGCCAGAGAGTGCATGCCGTGCCATCAATCCGGGCCCTTGCCCTTATCTCCTGAAGTACCTGAAACAATCAACGAACTATAAGCTAACACTTAGTGAGTTCCCCATAACATACCCCACATAATCCACATAATCACATAAACCATATCAACGATATAAGCTATATAAGACATTCATATAAAAATATAAGGATGCCATGGAAACCATCCAAGGTCTTACACTGGGTGCCATTGAAACCCCCACGTGGTCTTAACCCACTACCATGAGAACCCCCACATGGTCTTAACTTTCTGCCATGGGAACCCCCTCATGGTCTTAACTACCTGTCGTGGGAACCCCCTAGGGTTAAGATACCACGTAAAGTTGCTAACTTTACATCCATGCATGGAATCCAAGGGGTTAAAACACTCATATGAAGCTTAATAAGGGATTTAGGGCATGAGGGAGCGCCATATCTTAATAAAGATGGCAACTTTATGTCCAAAGAGGCCATGAGGAGTCCAGATTTGAGACCATGTCCTCATAATAAACTCAAACCCGAGAGTGACTCCATTTTGCACTAGAAATGACCATATTCTTGCATAAGGGAAGATCTAAGAAATGGAAAGCCAAGATAAATACTTTTTACCTCCAAATGGATGCTAACACAGAGTAGATGTCGGATATAGAGCCTCTCCCTTTGCTCCAACCTCTTCAAGCTCCAAATTCCTTCACAACCACATATAAATCACTCTCCAAAGCTCTCTCTCTCTCTCTCTCTCTCTTACACACACATACACACTCAAAAAGGTACAAGGCTCAAATTAGGGTTTCTCTAGGCTGTAAAGACGATGAGGGAAGCCACACAAGATCCATAAGTTCTTTATACACGGTGCAAATCTCGATAAATTAGGGTTCTTTCTTTCCAATGTCTACTCGTCGAGTCGGGGCCTTCCAACTCGTCAAGTAGACCCTTCATACCGCGTCCAAAATGGTCCCTACTCGACGAGTTGGAGCTCCCCAACTTGTCAAGTCCCAGTCCAAAACCCTAAATTGTTAGAGAAATAATTGATACCTGAAACAAGCGTTACAATATAGTCTTTCATTAAATAATTATTGTGTTCTATATTAGCATGTTTAATCCTTGAATAACTAGGTTATTCTAAATGTTCATAAGCATTCATAGTTATGGGAGCATCTATGTGGTAAGACTAATATAAGTGGATTGATTGATTCTCATGGAGATGAGAATAGGAAAAGTTGCTACCAACTTCATAGGTACTTGATTACGAGAATAAGTATTGGACCTTAATCCGCATCAAAATCACTTTATGGATCCTGGTCATGATTGATGTTTTGATCAAGGATGTATCTTTATATTCTTATACCTGAGATACATATTTTGGACTTGAAGTGTAGGAATTATTTTTCTTTGACATGGTTTAACGTTGTTCTGTAAAAGGCTGTCATAAGGGCCTATAATGATCAACATATGTAGTCAAGATGATATTTGTTCTTCTTATTAGTTGAGAGTTAGACATCTACACTACTACAAAAACAACATTTTATGACACGCAATGCATATCATAAAACGCTCAGACGATACACAAATGCGTGTCAAGGAAGACCATGTCATAATGAAATATGACACGCTTTTACGCGTTGTCTATTTACGACACACATTTACGACACGCATTTACGAAACATATTGCGTGTCAAGGAAGGCCCTATCATAAAGGAAGACGACACACATTTGCATCTCATAACCTTATGACATGCGTTTAGGACATGCATTGCATATCATTAAAGACCTTTTCATAAATGAAAATGACACGCATTTGCGTGTCATAAACTTCAACAACCATTTACGATATGCATTTTCGTGCCTTTAAGACACTCATTTACGCATAATACCAAAATATGGAAACAAATATATACCAAAATAATCAATTTCATCCCATAACATCATGTCAAAATATTGTAATACATTGTTATTAAGGGGATCTAATTGTACATTGTTATTAAGAGGTTTTCCCTACAAAGGGTTGAAAGCAGTCATCTGAATTTTCAGTTTTAGCACCACTTGAAATCGCTTCCCACCCACCAACAACTTCTTTCTTTTCACTAGCAGCAGCTGCACCCCAGATCAATCCATACCTTTATTGGCATCATTATCCATGGAACTAAAAGGTTTTGCAGAATCAATTCTGGTTGAAGCTATACAAGAAATCAATTATCATATTACAGAAAGATTTAAAGAAAGTAGATTAAGATCTGAACAACCCGATGAGCCTACTGCAGGAAAAGGTGCCCCATAACTCCTACATATACAAAATACTCAAGTCATTAGATAAATACATAAGAGATATATGTAAGTTGTAAACTTATGTTTATGTTTCTACTTTCTATACACAATTAATGCATGATAAAAACCTTTCAGCATTAGAATATTAAGCTTGACTGTGATATATGAATATCGAGATATATCTAAGTTGTAAACCATCAGATGCTTCATACGTAATATAATACATTTCAAGTCTAAGTCTGATGATAACAAACTTAAAACTTTTAAAATAAGAACAAACCTGTAACACCGTAAATTTCAAAACAATTTTTTCAAATTTTTCATAAAACATAATTCATTTAATATTCATAAAACAACCATATTTAATTATCCAATTCAAGTAAATACAAAATCCCAAGATCACAAATGTATAAACTCCGTGTGTGGGTACGGATCAAGCCGGCGCCTTCCCGCGGTCATCACTAGTACCTGAAACAATAACATCAAACACTGTAAGCACAAGGCTTAGTGACTTCCCCAAAATACCACATATAACACATATTAGCCACTCGAGGCTATAACTCTGTGGGTCCGTGCACCCAAACTCTGTGAACCCTCAGGTTCTAACTCTATAAACATGCACATCATAAATCACATAGAAATAATGCAGTACAACACATAACATTCATAGCATACAATACTCTATCACATAACTCTGGTTACCTACTCAAGGTATAGTATAGTGAGAAGACTCACCTCGTGTCTCGGTAAGTCGTGAACCCTAAAATCACTAGTGCTCGATCCCCCGAGCTAAAGTCCTCCTAAATCACAATACATCACTAATTAACACTTTCCCAACTAAGGTTGACTACTCTTTAACAAGTCAACTTAGGTCAACATTGGTCAACGGTCAACGGTCAACTTTGACTAGACTCGGCGAGTGCACTATAGCGACTCGGCGAGTCTGAGCGTATACACTGATTTCCCTGAAATCCTCCCTTGACACATCGAGTATCCTCCTAACTCGACGAGTTCCACCTGGCATGAGTTGTGGGGCCACCACGACTCAACTCGCCGAGTCTCAAGAACAACTCGGCGAGTCCAGCTTGACTCAGACCACCTGTCCACTCTGATTTCCCCTTGACTCACTGAGTCAACCCTCCCCAACTCGGCAAGACCACTTGCTGTGTGGTCGGGCAACATTCATACTACTCGCCGAGTATGTTCTTCGAACTCAGCGAGTCCGTGCCATGCAATGACTCAAACTTGCTCATAAGGTTAGATCCAGTCCATTAACCCATAGATCCAGTCCTTCCAAGCTTATTTAGCACGTAAAGTCATTATCTTGATGCACATACAATCTCTATATGACCATAAATGATGTTTTTGTCTCAAATACTACAACCCAAGGTCATAAACTCCATTGCTATACATAAAGCTTGATGAATGAGGCTCTCTGGACCTCTATGGATCCAAATCGAAAGCCTCAACACAAGAAGGGAACTATTTGGCATCAATTCATCCCATAAATGTCCATAAGAAACCCTAGATCCCATTATACATCACAAAACAGAAAGTAATCCGAAATCATACCTCTAGATTGATGATCTAAGCTTCAAATCCACAGAATAGCAACCTCCTTTGCTTCCTCTTGCCTAGAATCTTCTCTTTCTTTTCTAAATGACACACACAAGGGTCAAGAATGCTTCCTTTCTCTCTCAAAACGTTCAAGCACACAAGGGTTTCTCTCTAAGGGTTGGGTGAGCACAAATGACGGCCATAAAGCCCTTTAAATAGGCTGCAAACCCCGAAAATTAGGGTTTCACCACACAGCGTGGACTCGTCGAGTCCACTCTTGGACTCGTCGAGTCCGGACGTGAACCCGTGCCCAAATCCGCAATCCTACTCGGCAAGTCTGGGCTCCAACTCGCCGAGTCCACTCACAATTTCCATAAATAAATCCAAAATAAATACCTGGAAATTCCAGGCTGTTACAAAACCTCTAGTGGGCCTTCCAACACCCTCACAGTGTCATTCATATATGAGCTTTTTGTTATCTAGTTTTGTTGGAGGGGCATCAATACGTTTTCTTTTTGAAGTTATTAGTTGATGATCGGGGCCCTGTAATGCTTCATGTACTAAGTTGAGAAGTTCTTTACTCTTTGTGGAGGGAATAGGTTCCCTAAGCCTTTCTGTTGATGGAACACTGTTACTTTTTGTGTCTTTTTTAGAGTTTATTCCAAAACCATCTGCACCTTGGCTTTTCATCTTTATTTGATCACTCTTCTTTTTTATGTGTGTCACTGGTTTTAAAGCTTTGGAGCTTATGTATTTTCTACTCTTTGTAGGAGGAAGACTATAACTCGAATCGTTATTAGACTTGGATTTTTCTGTGAAAAAAATAAAAAGATACTTTAAATCTGTAAATTTTCTCAAATGAAGTAGAAAAGTAAATTGTTAGAAAGAATGTAAATTCGGACTAACCTGTGGATCCGAATTTCTGATGCAAATCCTATTAAAAAGACATTTTGTGCATTGGTTACTAATAAAATATCATATTACTAAAGAAAGTTTTATAAATAAATAACTTACAGTTGCAAGGTTGAAATCTATGAGATAGCCCTTGGAATCCTGGGAGAGAAAAGGAAATTTCCAGGGTTGAAATCATATGTGAACTACTTCCCAAGGACAAAATCGGAAAAAATTATTTTTGATATGGGAAAATTTTCTTTGATTAAAATAGTTACCTGTTTATGAAGACTAGAAAGTGCTTTGAATAAACAGTAGCCATACCACCAGAGTTGTTGAACATCTATTTCTCTCTTCAAGACCTAAACAAAAAAGAAAGAAAAGCTTAAGGATATTGACAAGGGGAACTGATACTTCCACAAACATTTTTGAAAATCCACTAATTTTTTTAATGAAATTAACAAAGGGGACTGATACTTCCACGGACATTTTTTCTTCTTTGTCTATAATATATTTTTTTAGGAAGCTAGCATTTAAAATACCAAGATTTTTTCAAACTCTATCCCTATTCCCTAGATCCTCTGATTAGACAAATTAGAGATGCCCTTTTGATTATTATAGACACTTAAAATTAGAACGGACTGATCCTGGAGTTCAATTAGAGATAGAAATAGTGAAATGAAATATATTTGTTTAGGAAATTAGCATTTAAAAAGAACTTGATGTCAAATTTTAGAAAAAATTCAATCCAGTTAACTTCAAAGTTGTCTCCTTTATCGCCAATGTCAAAGTAACGATTAATCTTGCATCAAACTACAAAAACAATCCTACAGCTAAAAACAAGCACAATTGACTGAAATTGCAAACAATCAAATCAAAAGAGCTAAGAAAAAGGAAGGTATCTTCAAACAAAGAACGATCACAAATTATGAAGAAGGAATAAAAAGATTGAAATGAAATGAAAGATAGTCTTATAAAGGTAATGGAATGAAAAAAACTCAGAGAGTGAAGAGCGAAGTCGGATTTAGGAGAAGTTGTACCAGTTTTAGGGTTTCCTTCGGTTACTCCCTTCACATCTTCGACAATCTTCATCTATGGAGGAGAGATATGAGAGAAAACCTGGTGGAGGGGGAGAGAAGAGAAGGTAGATGCATCAATTAGGGAGAAAATAAACTCAGAGAGTGAAGAGTGAACTCGGATTTAGGAGAAGTTATACCAGTTTTAAGGAGAAATCAAACAGTTCGTCTTCATTGTTGATCTTCTTTGCCGCCATTAATGGATCCTGAATAGAGAGAAAGGGTAGGGTTTAGTGTGATTTAAGGAGTTGTAGTCGCATGTGTGTAGAGGTGAGCCTAAGCTCGCCGACGAGGTGAGGTGAGATAGAGGTTATTAGTGAGGCTGATCAGGTCGTTAATTACAAAGCACTCGTGTGGAGTGGAAAATCGTTTTGAATGATAGTGTTTTGTATGTTCTTAAAAAAAAAGCCCTAAAATCAATAGTCCATGCGATTGTTTTTATAAGAAATTATTTAAACTGGAAGAAGGATTGACATGTAGCTTCACAATTCTTTAGGGTTCTTTGGCAGAGGATTTTAGAAGGAGAAGAAGGAGATGCATCAAGCGGGGTGTTTAATTTTTTGAGATTTCATTTCCCCCATCAGCTATTAAAAAAATGGAGAATGCGCCTTCTTAACAAAAATATAAAATGACACCTTTACATGACAAACTTTTTATGATAAGTGCCCTCCGTGTTTTTTTGTTGGACAATAGTTTTAGGGCACGCAAAAATGCGTGTCCTATATCCTTCAAATTTTAGAAAACTGACTTTATTTTTAGGATGCGCAAAAAAGCCTGTCATAAATTAATGTGTGTCATGGATTGCATGTCATTAACAGGCTGTTTTCTAGTAGTGCTCAGACCTTACTAAAGTTGAACAGTAAATGAGATTGATGGTGATCCATATCTCATGTTCAATATGATGTCTGAGAAAAAGGAATAACCGATACCACACCTTTAGTAACAATTGTAGCTTAGAGCTCCTAGAATTGGTTGTTGATAAGATGACACCCTTCATATGTTGTTAGGGGTAGAATCCCATTGCTAGACATCAACTACTTTCTATCTTAGCCTGTAATGAATCTTATGCAAGTGGGTGATTGTTGAATCTTTATGTCCAAGAATCATTATTGAGTGATATTGTTAATAACATATGATCTTATAAGGTCACACATTTATCAAGTTGGCACATTTTTTATATTTATTATTAATATGTTTATTATTAAATAATATCAGTTCTTGTATTTAAATAGAGAAAAATTATTGTTTTATGAAAATAATAATCAAAGAGAAGACAAACTAGTTATTATATTATATGGTATGACTTAATAAGTCATGTACAAAATTTTGGACACTTTGGTTAACCTTGCACTTATTAGTTCTTTAGTCTTTAAGCTAAAAGAACCAAGAAACAAGTTTTGTCTTCTTCCTTGGCCATATGGTCGTAACTTTTCTATAGGGTATGGAGGTTGCTTTTCAACCTCCATACTTTGTTCCCAATGCATCTCATTTAGTATATTACTTTTAAATACAATAAGGTGTATCCTTTTGCTTGTATAGGAGTATATAAGAAGGTCTTATGCATGAGAAAAGTTGGTTATTTTTGTCTTATGAAGTGATGAAAATCATAGCTTCTATTTCTCTTCATCCCTCTCTCTTTTGAAGCTAAGTTTTGGTGAATAAAGCTTCCTTAAGTTGTCTCATTTAGTGCTTATTTGAGTTAAGTGCTTACAGACTTAAGACACTAAAGAATACAAGAGGAAACTAGCATTCTAAGTGCCTTAATATTTATGTTGGATACTTGTAGAGAAAATCATACTCTTTGATTTTTCTATCTTCATTAACACCCAAAAATCAAGTGGGTTTAAAGGCTCCAAAGTTTTTCATTCTAAAACACTCTATGATTGTTTTTAATATCATTCTAACCTCTATACATGAATCATATATGGTTTGGTTTTGTTATAAACTCCAAAATAAACTAGTTATTTTTAGAGCATCCGTTGCTAGTTTTTATGAAAAAATATATTATATTTTGTATCAAAACCCATCACCCATATGCTAGATTGTAATCTTGACAAGACCCCGGGTGGATTTGCACTTAAAATAGTTACCAATGATCATCTTATTTGTATTCCTTCTCTGCACCATAGCCTTTCAGGGGCACTATAATTCTCGACATGTAGTAGACCATATATCTCATATGTTGTATAACAAGTGTGCATGTATATACATGACATTCTAGAGTCGCACCTACACACACTTAAATGAATTATGGCTACATACACAACACTATTAATCATAACCTATAATTAAATGTGTTACTGACCACGACTCTTACTGCTCGCTTAGATGTGAAACTGTCACACGTCGATCTACATTTGGATGTATCTGTATTCCTTGGTGACAACCCTATTTCACAGTCTTCTAAACTTTAACACATTGTCTTTAGATAAACTTTCGAAGCAGAATATCACGTTGTAGCTAAATTAGTTTCCAAAAACGATTGGCTTCACAATCTCTTTCAAGAACTCCAAGCCCTGATCCATACTGTCATTGTTGTCTACCGTAACAATGTTAGTGTCATCTATATTTAGGCTAACCCGGTTCAACACTAACGGACAATAGACGAAATACATTGAGTTTGATATTCACTTTGTCATGAACAAATTGCAGGTGGTCAAGTTCGTATTCTCCACGTCCCATATCATTGTTAAGATGCCACCACTTTCACTAAATGGTTAACCATCTCCTTTATTTACAGGTGTCTTTTCACGGAAAATATACCGACTAACATGGGTCACATTTCATTGCATCACATATTACATCTTAAGAATGTCCTTAGTCTTTATACCTTCATGTGTTATTGTTGAATGTAGCTATATAATAATTTATTTTCATGGTAGCTCGTTAAGCTATATACGTATCGTTACTATATCGAAGAGTGTGAGGAACATGACGTAATAACAAGGGAAAAGGAGTAGTTGAGCAACCAAGTTAAGAGATTTAGAAGATTAGAAGTTGCTAAACTTTTTGTATTGGAGAACCCTGTTCGTGCTCCTTGTGCATGTTTAGTATGTATGATTTGAGGATGCATCCAGTTTTGTGAATGTTTATATGTATTTCTTTTTCTGAAATTGAAAACTTTGGATATGTTTTTGTTGTTTGGGTGTTACATTAGTTATCCCAAAATTTCTAGGTTATAGAGTCGAACACAAATATTCAGACTGAAATTGAAAACTAATGATACAATTAATATGATTCCAAACATATCAATTACATAAATGATAGTAATAACAAATTTCAAACGTAGAAACATTAATTAATAAGAAGATAAAAAACTAAATAATTAAAAAAAGGTAAACCATACCAACTACCATACGAAAACATACGTTCTACAAATACATTGCCAAACCAGACAATTCTAGTTAGTTGGTGTGGAATATCATCAGAGGCTTGAATCTAATAAATACAGATAGCAAAAAGTATAGCCAAAAGACACGTGGATGAAATGAGTACGTCAACTCCTAATTAAAGAAATATTTCTTAAAAATAGATTTAAAAAAAATGAAACCAGTCGATAATCGCTGCTTTTGAATCAGTTTTGTTTGGTGTTCTTGAAAAAAGGCAGCGGGAGTTTTTGAAGAGCTGCCATGATTTCTTCTCCTGCCTTTTCACCATAAGCATCAACAAGATCTTCGTTCCTCTCGTACAATAATGGTGCTGTCAAAAACAGCACAAACACTGACAACTCACCGTTGTCAGTATTTAGTATTAGAAACGTTTGCTATATAATACATTTATAGTACATGACATGCATTTTATAATAAGTTTGACATTCTTATCAACAAAAACATACTTAGAAAGCCTATCTAATCCCATCCAATCCTGTCCAACCTGTTACCTTAAAGTCTTATGTAACTAACGCAACTTTAAGGATGTGAAAGCAATTAACTCACATATGTATACAAGGGTCAAAAACTCAAACCAGCCACCAATGACAGAGACAATCCATAAGGTTAAAATGACCTGCATGCCCACAAGTTGATAATTTTGTAGTTAAAAGTAGCATAAAATTCATCCATGTTAATCATAAGGAACCTCAAAAGTGGTTAGATAGATACATACACTCATTAATCTCTTTAGATCCTTCCCTGTGGTCATTTGCCTCAAGTATAAGCACCCCTGATTGACCTGATCTTTCAGCAAGAGAGCAACACAATCACACAGTTCTTGTGACAATCTAATGTCAGGGAAGTTTGGAGGAGACCTATTAAAAGAAAAAGCGTTAAAATATTCATGTACAAGATTAACTTAAACAAAAGACCCTTTTATACTTGATTTTAAAAATGCTACTCACTTGTTAACGAAGGAAGAAAGATTAGACCACAAGAACAATATCGCAAGAGCAAGTATTAGAAAGTGACACAAAAATGGAACAAGATGATAGCCTATCCGCTCAAAGAGAAGCCATATGACAGTTGCAGAGACCAAAATGGCACCAGACATTTGCTTTTGTCGCCAGAGTAAAATATCAGCAGCTGAAAATAGAGACTTAAGCCGATCAAGATATCTGAAATTCTGAATTGAATCCATTACATATTTTCATGATTTTTATCAAGAAATAGGTATGTCATATGTAAAAGAAATTCCATTGTCATCGACAACAGATTAAAGATACGATTTGATCTAAAACTAAATTCAGATTTCAGATTGAGGAGATTTACTTTTTCCAGAACCGAGAGCAGCGTGCAAAGGTTTCCGGCGACCAAAGAGGTGGCGCCTTCCCGAACCAGATTGTGTCTCCTCCTCATCCATATTAAGCTTGCGCTTTTGTTCCACCGGTAATTCGTCAAATCTATTCTCCGTCGCCGCCACTATCTTGTCTTCGACGGCCGGATCTACCATATTTTCCTATATTATAAATAAAATCACGATCATCGTAACATATTGCAAAATTTTGAATAATGAAAGAAAAAATTTCACAGATTGTGCTTACTGTATCTTCAATTCAGAATGTGTTTAAGGTGTTCCGATGATGACCGTTTTCTCCGGCGAACGTAAAATTTGTAATCGGAGGAATTGAACAGAGAGCAGAATGGAGAAACTAACCCCATAATAATACGACGCATGAAAACCATAAATGTAACCATCTTATTCGGAGTTAAATTTAATGTAGATGTACATTTAGCTCCTTGATGTTTCGGTTTCTGCTACTAAA